CATGCCCAGCTAATTTTTTGTATTTTTAGTAGAGACGGGGCTTCACCATGTTGACCAGGATGGTCTCGATCTCTTGACCTCGTGATCCACCCGCCTCGGCCTCCAAAAGTGCTGGGATTACAGGCTTGAGCCACCGCGCCCGGCCCCACCTCTCTTACAGTTTGTATTGTATTTTCTTTTTAAGATGACACAGATTGGCAGTATGTATTATATTTTCTGAAGGCCACATAAGGAATTTAAAAAAGTCCTTAGTTTTCTGAAAAGACAAGAAGTAATGCTTAGGTGGTTAAGAGAGTTTTATTTAACTACTCCCTTCATTTTAAATTTTGGCCTTTACCTTTACTGGTTTATGATCTTTGCTTCCCTTTATTTTTCTCTTTGGTAAAATTAGGATAATAATACCTTAAATGAAATAATGTTTGCAAAATGCTTACCATTTATAAAACACTTAATACATTGTAATGGCTATGATAATGATTATTATTGGGTCAGAGTTAGATTCTTAATTTAACAAGAATATGAATTGGGTAAAACATAAGAAGCTGGAATGAAGAAACTCCTGTTGGGAAGCTAATAACTTTCCTGGTGCATTGGCAACTTCTTGTCTAAATATTAGGAATTACACCAAGAATCTGACATGGAATTTAATAATACTACACAAGAAGATGTTCAGGAGCGCCTGGCTTATGCAGAGCAATTGGTGGTGGAGCTAAAAGATATTATTAGACAGAAGGATGTTCAACTGCAGCAGAAAGATGAAGCTCTACAGGTACTATTGTTTTTATCCTTTCTTGTGGAGTGTTTGATAAAGGATAGATGATACACTACTCGCTTGTTTTTGTCTTCTCTCAGATTATTAGAGAATCTGATTATTTCCCTACTACTGTATCCTTATGCCTAGAAAATAACTTTTGGGCTGGGCATGGTAGTGCACACCTGTAATCTCAGCATTTGGGGAAGCTGAGATGGGAGGATTGCTTGAGGCCAGGAGTTTGAGATCAGCCCGGGCAACATAGTGAGACCCTGCCTCCACAAAAAAATAATTTTAAAAAATTAGCTGGGCATGGTGGCGGGCACCTATGTCCCAGTTATTCTGGAGGCTGAGATAGGAGGATCACTTGAGCCCAGGAGTTTGAGGCTAAAGTAAGTTGTGATTGTGCCACTGCACTCCAGCCCTGGTGACAAAGAGACACTGTCTCTAAAAGTAATAATAACAAAAATAACTTTTGGTATGTGGTAGATAAGAGGTGAATAAACATTTATATATTTACCATCATTGTTCTTGGGCAGGAAGAAAGAAAAGCTGCTGATAACAAAATTAAAAAGCTAAAACTTCATGCCAAAGCCAAATTAACTTCTTTGAATAAACACATAGAAGAAATGAAGGCACAAGGAGGGACTGTTCTGCCTACAGAACCTCAGTCAGAGGAGCAACTTTCCAAGGTATGGTAACTGGCTATAGTATATATTTCCTAAGTTGAAAAAACCTACCAATAGAGCAGATTTTCACCAACCACAAACATTTAGGATGCTAAAATGATACAACACTAAATCATATTTTTTTATTTTGTTTTGTTTTTTCTTATTAAGCTTATAGTTCAGCTGGATTGTAGGCCATACACAGGAAGAATGAAAGGCCTACAGAAAATATGGACATGAAATGCCAGTTGTGACTAGACTTTCAGGGAATTAAAAAAGGCTAACAGGAAGAAATAAGTACTGAAGTGAGGCATTTAAAGAGGAGAGAAACATACGTTTTGGAGGAGTTTCATCATTGATTAGAAGATTAAATTAGATTATCTCTGAGGTTTTTTCCAGCTCTGATATTTTTTAATTCACTGACTTAACACAGAATATTCTATGTCCTCATATAGTTACATAGTGGTAGATTAATGCTTCACGCATGTGGGCTGAATTACCTTGGAGTCTCTAAAAGGGAGACTCTCTAGGTTTACTATAGCAACCAACAAAACAGTTTAAGGTTGGAGATAAAGGGGAGGAGTAAGGAAAGTACTGTCCTGTGAGGAATATTGTCCCAATGCTCATATTTTCATTATCTTTCCTCTGTGGTTAAACTCCACATACTCACATTCAGTCAGCTGTTTAGAGAATAAGAAACTTCAGCTTTGTGGATAATTTGGTACAGATTATCTGGAGGCAGGCATATTACATGCATACTGTAGTTACAGAGTGAATCTAGACTTCACCCTGTGTAAGAAATCTTTTTATCCTTAGTTTTTGGGAAATGAGATTTTAATCAATTTTCTAGGCACAACCCTTGGGGTCGCTAGTTAGTGACCCAGTTCCTGTTTCGTCTTTCCTCTCAGGGGCTAATGCTCAGAGGACATTACTTTTTTTGAATTAATAACCTTATTTAACTTCTCAAAGTTTATTTTAAAAGCTTCTTTCAATCTTTGCAAATTATTTCATCTTGATCCTTCTTTTCCTTTCAGTTTTTCCTCTATCAGTTCTGCTCCCCTGACTGTGGTAGCACCAACCTCTCTCCTCATATTGCTTTGCTCCCTCCAGCTTCTCCTCAGCTATGATGTCAGATTTTTAAATAATCCATTTTATACTCTGTTTTTTAATTTTTTAGCTCTGAGACCTTAAACAAATCAGTGCCTTAGAGCTCATTTTTTTCCTCTGTTAAAGAAATGATTTCTAAGTTTCAGCAATCAGTTATAGCAACCCTTTAACTATTATATACTTAATACAGAGATAGGTATTCTGTAGAAAATAGTTGCAGAAAGGACAGCAGTCTTCAGGTGCTTGACTGACTATTATGTGAAAATAAAAAAGTATTCTTTGTAGTTCCAGTAAGCAGAAATAGCTTTGTTTGGGGGGTTGGGGGGAGTAAATTTAATAGAGAGGCAGAATCTCAGTCTAAGGGAGAGTTTCTGGAAAAAATAGATTATTGAAAAATTTGGATTTCCCCTCACTGGCTCTTTTCTGATGTTTTGCTTCTCATTTAACAACAGCTATAGTTTCCTGAACTCTCTCCTTGATTTTTCAAGGCAACAAGACTGTGAGTTTTCTGTTAAGGTTTAGTCCTGCATGGCACTGACTGGTTTTGCTCTCAGCATAAAAGCTGTCAATATGGTAAACTCAGTGCCATTTCTTCCAATTATCACATCCCCTCCAATATCTTCTTGCTTTTTGTTGTTCTCCAGTATTTTCAGATAGCTGTTATCTATATTGTCCACAGTTTGGGGTTCACATGCTTGGTGTGAGGAAAAAAAAAAGAAAAAAAAATATATATAACATAATATATAATATATTTCACAGTTTATAGCTATTATGTGAGGGAGGGTAAGTCTAACAGGAACTACTCAGCCATACGAAAACTGGAAAACCCTAAGATTTCATGTCTGTTAGATCAGCTGTTTTTTTTCTTGCTCCCATCAGTTTAATAAAATTATAACTAAATGGTTGTAAATGAAAAATTAGAAGAAAATATTAAATATATATTAATTGTAATTCTTTGAAATAATGACTTTATCTCCTGCATTTTCAGCATGACAAGAGTTCTACAGAGGAAGAGATGGAAGTAGAAAAGATAAAACACAAACTCAAGGAGAAGGAAGAGCTAATTAGCACTTTGCAAGCACAGCTTAATCAGGCACAGGCAGAACTAGCTGCACAGGTAGGGATGGAAGTTACTTCATAATCGTTAGCTTAACGAATCACTAAAACCAATGGATTATTATATGACAAATTTTTCTAGATGCCTAATGGGCAATTATCTATGTATCTATCAGTCTCCTTCTTTTCTTCTTCTTGTCTGGTAATTTTATTAGCATATGCATGGGTGTTTATCATTTTTAGTTGTTATTTGTAGATACCCAATATGCTCTTTCAATATATTGTTTCATGTATTTTAACTTTTTTTGTTTGTTGTTTTATTTCACTTTATGGATTCTATTTTTTTGTTTACTTTTGTGTTTTTTCTGGTTTAATCTTCTATTCTGCAATGATTTTTTCTTTTTTATTGAATTTTTCATGAGTTCTGTCACCTCATTTCTGATTTTTCTAAATCTGTGTTTTTCTCTCATGTCTATATTTTTTTCCTCTCTTTTCTTTTCTTTTTCTTTCTTTCTTTTTTTTTTTTTTTTTTTGTCTTACTCTGTCATCCAGGCTGGAGTGCAGCAGCACGATCTCAGCTCGCTGCAACCTCTGCCTCACAGGTTCAAGCAATTCTCCTGCCTCAGCCTCTCGAGTAGCTGGAATTACAGGCATGCACCACCATGCCTGGCTAGTTTTTTGTATTTTTAGTAGAGAAGGGATTTTAACATATTGGCCAGGCTGATCTGGAACTCCTGATCTCAAGTGATCTGCCTGCCTCAGCCTTCCAAAGTGCTGGGATTATAGGCGTGAGCCACAATGCCTGGCCTGTATAAATTTCTTAATTTTTAAAAACTTTTTGAAATAGATTGCAGTTGCTTCTGGTGTGCTTTTATCGCCTATAAGCATTATCATTCTGCTCTTTAGTTGTTTTTTTTTTTTAATTTATAATAAAATAAATTTAAACAAGAGAATTTATTTCTTATATTTATGGAGATTGAGAAGTCTGAAGTTGAGGGCCTGCATCTGGTGAAGGTCTTCTTGCTGATAGGGCTCTCAGTGGTGTCCCAAGGCAGCACAAAGCATCACATAGTGAAGGGTGTGCTGATTTGCCAGCTTAGGTCTCTTATCCTCGTCTTATAAAGCTACCAGTTCCCCTTCCATGACAACCCATTAATCCATTAAAACATGAATGTGTTAATTAATTCCTGAGTCCAAAGACCTCCTGAATCAGTCCTTTCTTAAAGGCCTTTTGTCACTTTGGGGATTCAGTTTTAACATGAGTTTTGGAGAGGACATTCAAACCGTAGCTTTCTACCTTTGGCCCTCCAAAACTCATGTTCTTCTCACATACAAATACATTAGTTCCATCCCCACAGCCCCAAAGTTTTAGCTCATTCCTGCACCAACTCATCTGTGAGTCTGTAAAATCAAAATACATTATCTGCCTCCAAGATACAATGGTAGGATAAGCATAGGGTTCATATTCTCATTCTAAAAGGGAGATATAGGCAAGAAGAAAGAGATTAAGAGACCCCAGGAGAGCAGACATTGGGCCTTAAAATTCCAGAATAATCTTCTTTTACTCCATTTTCAGTATCCTCTGCACAGGTATGGTGGTTGGGTCCCCAAGGCCTCAGGTAATTCTGCCCATATGGGTTTGTGGGGCTTAGTCCAGTCTGCTCTCCCAGGCTGGCTTTGCATTGCACACTGGTAGCTCTATAGTTCTGGTATGTCAGTTGTAGTCCCACACCATGGTTTCACTAGGCATTACTCTAGTGGGGACTCTGTGGGGCAATTCTAACCCCACATTTCCGCTCGGCATTGCTCTAGTGGGGAGGTCTCAGTGGTGGTTCTGCCCCTGAGACAAGTCTCTGCCTGAGCCCTCTGGCTATTGATGACATCCTTTGACATCTGAGTGGAGGCTACCAAGCCTCCATAGCTCTTGCTTTCTGCGAGCCTGCAGAATTAGCACCATGTGGATGTTACCAAGTTTTACAGCTTGTACCTTTTGAGCTGTGGCATTAGCCATACCTGGGGCTGCTTGAGCCATCATTGCACTGACCAGAACAGCTGGGATGCAAGGAGCAGTGTCTTGAAGTGGCACAGAGCTGTGGTGTCTCAGGCCTATTATTCACAGAAACCATTCTGTCCTCTTAGGCCTTTGGAGCTGTGATGGGGGTTGGAGGGGGCAGCCTTAAAGATTTCTAAAATGCCTTCTGAAATGCCTTCAGGGCCTTTTCCTATTGTCTTGGCTATTAGTAACTGGCTCCCTTTTAGCCATGTTAATCTCTTTAGCAAGTGGTGGCTGTGCATTCTTGGATTCCCATCTTGAAATGCTTTTCCATTCTTTACCACATGGCCAGGTTGCAAATTTTTCTTTTTTTTTTCCTCTCTGTTTTCTTTTTCTCTGTTCACAATTTTCTCCTGCCACATACCCTAGTTCATCACTCTCAAGCTCAGCCTTCTACAAAGTCCGTGGGCATGGACACAGTTCAGCCAAGTTCATTATTAATTTATAACAAGGATGGGCTTTACTCTAGTTTCTGGTACTTTGTTCCTCAGTTTTATCTGAAACCTCATCAGAGTGGCCTTTACTGTCCATATTTCTATCAGCATTGTGGTCACAACCACTTAACCAATCTCTAAGGAGTGCCAAACTTCCCGTAGTTGTCTTCTAAGCCCTCATCAGAATCTAGGCATTTTTTAGCCAGTTCCTCAGAATTCTTCCAGCCTCTGCCCATTACCCAGTTCTAAAACTGCTTTCACATTTTCGAATTATCATTATCAGCAGTGACCCCACTTGTCAATACCAGTTTTCTTTTTTAGTCTGTTTTCTCTTACTTGTAGCAGAAAACACCTGAAATGGGGTAATTTATAAGAAGTTATGGAGGCTGAGAAGACCAAGGCTGAGGGGCTGCATCTGGTGAGGGTTTTCTTGCTAGTGAGGGGTTGCTTTTTTAAAGAGTAACTTTATATGGGATATGACCTTGATCCTTTTCTGTTCCTTATTTTTGTGACAAATTCATTCTTCTAAACCTCTATTTGGAAGAAGTCTTGATTCAGGAAAGCTTTTCCTACCAGACTTCCTTTTTTGTTATTTTTATGTTGTGTTCAAAGATATAGGAGCTGGATTTCTGAGATTTCCTGGCTTTCTTCCTTCTGCCCTTCACTTTGGTTAATGCCAAAATTGTCCAATAGTAATAGGTTTATTTGTGATAATTAAAGACTGGAAACAACTCACATGCCCATCAATACAGAAATATTTAAACTGTGATATATCCACACACTGGAGTATTACTTACAAGTAAAAAGGAACCAACTATAGAACAGTAGCAGGCCTTTTTAAAATTTTAAAATGTGTCTATATTTATTTTTGAACTTAGAAAATAATTCAACTATAATGTTTCTATTGCAATTTAATTATGATTAAATTAGTATCAGCTGTTACTCATGCTATCTGCATTAAGTATACAAATAAACACATTACAATGTTACATAAGGGTCTAGAAAAAAAATTAAACTGAATCAACCCATTGACACCAACTACATACACACTTGTAACTTGTGCAACACCTCAATAGTAACTTACATGATGCAACAGATAAGATGAAATACAGCCATGCCAAAATAGAGTTGTACTTAATGGAAAAATAATTTATACCTCAGTTTTCAAATTCAAATTAAATAATGTTAAAATTTAAAAGTATTTCTTTTATATTAGACATGTTTCAAGCCCTCTGTA